CTTCATAAACATATATATATATATATATATATATATATATATATATACATATATATATATATATGTATAATTATTTATATATATATTATACTTATTAGAAAGCGCTCAATATCAGAGATAGAACTAACATATTTGGTTAGATAGATGTGAGTTTATGACTCTGGATCACAAACTCACATCTATCCAACTATATATATAAGAATGACTTCCAGTTATGAGTCAATGAATTCAAACAATTTTTCAGTTAATGAAACCAGACCAATCGAATAGTGAAATAAATTATAGTCTGAATTATTATATACGAAATATGGAAAAACTTGCCATCTCATCTCAGTTTCCATTTAGCAACAAGACATCAAGCATTCCTTACTCAGTCTTTTCTCTTCTAAATTAGTAGCTTTCAAATGAGCCAATTGCTCAGTGAAGTATTGTGCAGTAGCACTTTCTCCAAGTTTCAACAATTTAAGAATCCAAACTTTTTTTTTTTTTTTCCTGCGGGGTAATTAAGAGGGAAGTTCAGTTTGTTATATAAACTTATAATTTGATACAAGCCCTCCCCCACCAATATATTTATTTCATGTGATGAAGCATATTCTTAGTTTAAAAAATTTCAAAAACTGAACATTTATCTTATTTAAAGCATATTATGTTTTTCATGTTGTTTTAAAATAATTCTTACATACAAAATTTCAGATAAATTGAGAACTGCCACAAAATAGGAATTTAAAGCATATTCTTACTTGCGTTTTTTCATTATTTATTTATGTTTCATTATGTGTGGAGAAATGATTTTACATTATAAACTGAATCCCTCACTTAAAATTTAAAAAAACTTTCCTTGGAAATTTCAGAAATATTGAACTCCCTTGTACATAATCATCACATAATGAGATTATATTGACTATAAACAATAGAAAGTTGCTTTGAAAACACTGGACCATGATTCTGAATGAATTTATTTACATAACAAGAAAAGTTATGAAACTGATGCCTAATCATTTTCAGAATAGAAGATAGTTTCAAAAATGATAGTTTGGGGGGAAATAAACAGAACTTAGTTTGTGCAGAGAGTAATGAACTGCTGTCCATTCTGATTTGTAAACTATTTCTGTCTTTTCAGTCTTTTGCTAAGAAAATCGCAGATTAGGATTTGGGCGGGTGAGCATTTACAGTTGGCTCTTCACATCCATAGATTTAACCAACCACTGATCAAAATTTGAAAAAATATTCCAGTAAAGTTCCAGAAATCAAATCTCAAATTTATGTGATGGGTACTTTAATGAATCTGTACAGTGATAGATTGACAAACCCTGGCATAGCTTACACAGGCACTCAATCTTTTCCAAGCACCCATAGTTTATGCATTGTTTGCCTCACATCTTGTTCATTAACTTTTTGGGTACACTTTTTGACCAAAATTTAAAATGGATATTTTCTTTTAAATATCAATAAATTTATTAAAATCTAATAACCAATTGATTTTTGGCAGATTTTTTTAAATATTAAGCTATTCTTCCTCCTGGAGATTTTCTAATGGAATTTGTTTTTGTTTTTTAGTTTTAGTTTTTTGTCTTTTTTTTTTTTTTTTTTTTTTTTTTTTTTTAAACATTATCACTTTTCGCTCATATCTCTGGTTCTAAAGAGTATCACTCACTGTCAAATCCTGTAGCCTCTATTGAGGATTATTGGGGGCGGGGGTCACAACCTCAAAAAACACTAGGTGTGGTTGATTTGGTTTCTCTACCAAGTAGGTTTTTAGTTTGCTAGTTCCCTGCCCAACTGGTTTTGAATTCAGTTTTTGTTGTTGTTGTTCTAGACTGGTTGCCAACAAAGGCTTAAGAGCCTTGTATGCCTCTTTCCCAAGAGTATTTATTTGATGCATTAAAAATGGCTGGAATTTGAACTTGGTTTCAAGATTTTTTATTTCAAGCCCTTAACCATCTGCCTTAAAAAGCCAAATTTTTTCTTAACAAAAATTTTTAATTATGTAGATAGAAATATAACCAATACAATTGTCAAATCATTCAAATATTATTAGCTTTAGTACATTTACTTCTATTCACCTTTTAGTCTGCTACATATCAAAAATTGTTTGATTAATATTAACAAAGTTTAGAGCCAATTCAAATAAATGTTTTTTGAATAATTATTTTCAAACAATGTTCACATAATCGTCTGCTATTTTTTTCCCATTTTCTTAGTGTTGTTTAAAGTTCTGATATAAAGATTCATTGAAAAGACAAATGTCTTGCTCAACAATTTGCTAAGCTTCAATTTGGCTCTAAACTTTTAATATTAATCAAGGTGAAATTTATCAGTTTATTTGCTACCAGTATAAACTTTTTCAGGTCCTGGTAATTCCCAGATGAATATTAAAAGTAATCATTTGTATTCAACTTATGTCAGCACTAAAGTGTGTGTTTTTTTTTTTTTTTTTTTTTTTTTTCCCAATACTGGATAAGGGAGTAGTTTCTTAGATCTAGCATTGAATCTAGCATGAAACAGCCTGTCGCCTCAATGTTCACTTTTGTATTTATACACATTTGATGTTTCCAATTTGTAGCTTGCATTTACCATGATTTATAAACGAGCATAATAAGTATTTACATTGTTATCATATTCACGACATTTCGGCAGTTATATTCTCTGGCCTTCTTCAAGTGATTGGAATTTCAAACTGAACCCTTTATTTCCTCCACTGGAGGTAGATTGATCTAGTTCCACATGCCATGCCTCTTCCGGGTCTCTCCATTTCAGTTATTTTCCTTTAGTAACTCAATGCTCCAAGTTTTTGTTTACCTCTACTGTATTGAATTCGCAGCACTTTGGGGTCAAGTCATTGGATTCTTTCAACCAACACTTTTATCCACTGGGCCATCTGTCCACTCACCTGAAGAAGGCCAGAATGTACAACAGCTGAAATATCATGAATATATGTCAACAAAGATTAGGACAACAGTTCAGTTGTGCTTTTACAACAATATAGTATAAAAACAGAAGCTAAGCAAAGTATTAAGAAACAGGAATATTTTGTTACAAAGAAAACAGTACAGAACTGTTATGTACTATGACCGTGAATGCTGGACAATCTCCTCACAGATGAAGAAACAATAGAAATGTAGTTCAGCAGAAGGATACTGAGAATACTATGGGCTGAATATGTGAGTAATGAGGAAGTTTTAGATAAAATGGAAACAAAAAGGACACTTATTCTTAACATCAGACAAAGATAGTTGAAATTTTTAGGACACATAAGGAAAGAGGGCTTGGAAAATTTGACACTCACAGGGCATATTGAAGGCAAATGGGACAGAGGAAAAAGATGCAGAACCCATCTAACAAGCTTTTGCAAATGGATGGCGAGAGATAGTGTTTAATATTTTTGTAAATTCTCAAAAACAAAGGAAATTTACAAATTCACTTTCATTACGTTTAGGATTTATTAGAATTCTAATCATTGCATTTTAAAACAATAAACATTGCCAAAGAGTGAAGGTAGTTAAAATAAAAGTGATATTATATTTCAGTTTTTCTCCGAAACCTATTCATCTTTTCACGATCTCCACCTACAGCAAATTATGCATCAAAGCAAGATGGTCTTCTATTATTCCTATTGTCAAATACAACACACCAGCCCAATGCTGCTACAGTGATCCACTGGCTACTGCTTTCACATCAGCCTAGTACAGATTATACTACAGATTGGTCACTGGCTACTGCTTTCACATCAGCCTAGTACAGATTATACTACAGATTGGTCACTGTCTACTGCTTTCACATCAGCCTAGTACAGATTATATTACAGATTGGTCACTGGCTACTGCTTTCACATCAGCCTAGTACAGATTATACTACAGATTGGTCACTGGCTACTGCTTTCACATCAGCCTAGTACAGATTATACAAATTGGTCAAGAGTAACTGACAAAATATTGTAATAACATATTCTGATATTAAATGCAAAGTAGGTGGTTTTATTTACCATCAGATATGGCACTGGCCTAAATTTAGATTATCTAATAAGTTTCTGCAACCATGATATCAAGGGTAGGATTCATCAAAGCTTCCATTCACTCTTATACTCAAATATGTCATGTAATATAAGATTGTTGGAACATAAATTAGTATCAAATCTAATATTAACATTTGACACATACCGGTGTAATAAAATTCTTCATTTTTGTAGGCCAATCATTCTTTCTATCTATCTATCTATCAAAGCAGGGGATATCAAAATACAATTTGAGTTCTTGCTTTGGGAGAGAGAAAAAATATAAATAAAAAAATAAAATAAAAAATAAGAGAATAAGTTTATCTTAAATCATCCAACCACTTATGACTGGATAGAAAAAATAAGGCATCAGAACCTCAGCAAGATTTCTTCTACTGGCTGCAGTAGCTAGTTTGTTGCTTTACATGTTTAAATCCATGCCATTTTAATGTCTACTAAAATCAGGCTATCTTCTCTGCCCTCATTTGACCAATATTGATCTTTCTATAATCATCTTAATATTTACAATGATCTGTGATAAAACTTCACTGTTAGGTGAATTAATAACTCTGTGAATTCTGATAGTGGTGGAGGGGGGGCTTCTTTTTTTTTTCTTTTTTTTTTTTTTTTTTTTTTTTTTTTTCTTCTTTTTTTGACCTAGTTAAATTCATTTGAAAATGAATTAGAAGTGGTCAGGAGATAATGAAAGTGTTATGTAATCATGAAAAAATAAAATTTCCACAAGGAATGCAACTTTACTTTTTTTTCTTTTGTGAAACATTTTTGAACTTATCACTACAGAATACATAGAAAAGAAATTGGTTGTTAATTCTCTCCATGTAATAACATCTCAGTCCATAATAGTTCTTATATTTAGTGTATGAAATTTGTATGCAAATGTAATGATTTTTTATGGGATAGGTAGTTATTTGTGTTCTTTTGATGGAATGAAATCTGTATTTAAAAAGAAAAAAAATTTCTTTATCCTTTGTTTATTTTTAATTTTCAGTTCCAACTACACCTGCTCCCACCACCAAAATTACCACTACACCAGTAAAAACAACTTCAGGAACAAATGGTCAAACACCAAAAACTGGCCCCCAAACAAATGGTAATTCTACTGCTCAAAGAATGCTTGCTTTTGCACATATATATTTATTTTTGTATGTTTCGCTTTTTGCTCAGCTTTCAACTTAAGTGTGTTGGTTTTGTTTTTTTTGTTTTTTCTCTTAGTGTGTGTAGGCACACTTGCCTATATGCAATCATAAAGCATTTCTGGTGGCCATAGTGGTGTAAATTTTAACTAACCATGGTTGTTATTGATGCTCAATTATTTATTATTTATTTTTTTTTTTTTTTTTTTTTGTTTCAAAACTTGCTACACAAACTTCCTATAATCCCTACTCATTTCTCTTAATCTGCTTGTATGCCCAAATTAAAATTAGTTTTTTTTCGATAATTTTTGTATGTGTCTACTAAAATGATTCACATTAACCATTTTTGGATTCTGCTCTGCTTGTACACTTCCAAATTGCTTCATATGCGTAAGCCTACTGCACTCGTTATTTGCATCTTCTTCATTGGGCACAAGTTGCTAAGCAGAAAGCATTTAATTGAATTTAATAGTACAGGTGCTAACTTGTATCGGGATTGTTTTGCAGGTGAGGCAGAAGGAAAAAAACACTTTAAACAAATGTCCTAAGGACAAACTGGAGATATTTTTCTATTTTCAAATATTTGTTACTATTAAGTGGGAGATTATATATAAAGTTATAACATAAATTTTGTGCAAAAGTAGGATGTACAGCTTAGAAGAATTTGTTGGCTTTTTTGTTTTTGTTTTGTTTTTTAACCAATCAGAAAAAAATATTTATTCAATAAATGCACTTTATCAAAAATCCTCCTATCCAATTTGGCCTGATAAAAATCTTTTTTTTTTTTTTTTTTTTTGTAAAACATTAATTTTTTTTATTTCGATATTCCACTGAATATATTTAAACCAACTGATTTGTTTTCGTTGTTTCTAAATTTCTCAAACAATAAATATTCAATTCGACATTGCAGAAGCCATTTTAGGCATATTTGCCAGCATCTAGTCATGTGATCAACACTTCACTTAAATATTTTAATTTATCTCCTTTAATCAAATATTTTCACACACACACAAAACTTGATGTTTCATCGTAAAGAAATAAATCTTCATTTCTATCATTTGCAACTTTATATGCATTACTAAAAGCAGAGCTTTTACCTCAACTAAACTTTTGGTATGAATTACAATTCATTGTTGTTATCAATCCCATCTTCTGTTTTTTGTATATTCCTGGCTGAAATTGTTTTTTGAATGATTTCAAATTAGAAAACTTTTCACCCAACAAATGTGATAAAATATAAATACTAAAGAAACAGACTTTTTCTTTTTTTTTTTTTTTTTATTTTTTTTTTTATTTTAAGATCAAGCAGTTTTAAGATGATCACTTGTCATCTGATGGCTATGTATATCTTGCAGCACATTGCCTCTGATGTATGTCTTTGATTTTGTGGTTTTATTAGCTACACTAATGAGCTGTTTCAGCTCAAAGAAGTCATTTATTTTATTTCACGCTATATTGGAGGATCAAAGATAACAGTGAACATAAAGAACAAAAACAATAATTTTATTTATAAAAATAAATAAGATAAGGAAAAGGTATAGTGAGAGATGACAAGAAAATTATGGGAAAAAGAAATAACCCCAACATTGTACACGTGTGCGTATAGATATATATATATATATATATATATATATATATATAATATATACACACCTCAACCTAATACCAATAAAAAGCAATTAAATTATTTCTTCTAACTTAATATATAAGTAATGAAAATTAGAATACAATTGCTGAAACCTCCTGATGAGTTGCTTGAATTATTAAAAAATGTTTGTCTACAAAACTCTAGAGTCAGGATGCTAAATAAGCTGACAAATTTTATATTTGTATTAATCCTATATAATATATATCTGCTAGTTCTTTTTAATATTGATCAGTCAAATTTCTGTAAGTCTTTTTTTTTTTTAGTGTAACGTGTACAGAATGGCTTGGAAATTATAAATCTGTCTCTGTGATGTGCTGATAAATTCTTCATGACTGTTATATTCCATGCTAATAGGAATACATACTTGAAAAACAAGGTGGATAAAATAAGTAAAGGTTTATGGTAAAAAATCAGTACAATAAAAATAAAGGTAACAGTTATGCACAAGGTCATCGCAAGTCAATCCAGTAGTGAGTGCTACGATTGGAAGGTTGGTAGTTCTCCCATAAGTCTGAATTGTACTTGACAGATCCCAGCTAGTTTCCGTAGTCCATTGACTTACACTTATAGGTAGTTACTACCTATAGTGTAGTCACTCATGCGAGGGTGTCAGGTTATTCCATTACATCAATGACCTAATTGGTAAGGTGCTGCCATAGTTAGACAGGCTCCCAAGAATAATAAGTGTGGGTTCAAATCTTACTGGAATTTTTTTCCCCCGCTCAATCTTGTTTGCTTAAGTTTTAGAATAAAAATCTAAAAATCATGATAATAAAATGAAAGTTAAAATTTAATAATTACAATTATTTGTATTTTAATTTTTAAATGTCTATTGAAAAAAAACTAGTTCTACACATATTTTTTTCATTTTTGTTTCATTGTGGCACTCTTTAATAACTTCACCGATATGAGAGGCTTTGAACCAATGGCTATTTTGTGTAACATATTGTGCATAATTGTTGTTGTGGAGTAGCTGAACATCCCCACTTGATGAACTGATCTAAATGGCACTCTATCTTACTAAAGGAGAGGAGTTAACAATTGACTGTGTTCTCAACCATGTACCACATTATTCTCTGGAATAAACTTTATTTTCTGTGTGTGTGTCTGTGTGTGTCAACCTTTCTTATTTATGACACAACAATAATACAAGAAATTTTGAATGAAAATTAAAGTCAAAAAAGGGTAGGGTCAGTTGTATTATACATAAGTACAGGTTTTCAGAAATTTTTACTCTGTTTAAAAAACCTGTTATTTGAAACATCAAGATTACAAATACACTTGGCACAATATATAAAACTCAAATTAGGCAGGTGTTGATAACAATTGTTTACAAAAAGTATTTGATATGTCAGCCATATGTGTTCTTCCAGAAACAGTGTAATTGAACATCATTTTGTCTCAGACAGCAAATTCACTGAAATAATTGATATAAAAAAAAAAAATGAATAAAGGGAAGGCACAAAATCTGTCAGGTTTTAATAATATTATTCTTACAGCAAAGCATTTTCCCCCCCAAAACTAAATGTTTTGAAACAGAAATTAGAAGAAACACTGGCTACACATCTGGTTGATTTGTTTTTTTAATATCATGAAAAGTTAAATATTTCAGTGAAATATATGTACAACATTTTTAAGAGTGGAAAAATCTATTAAAGTAAAATCAAGAAGATAAGCACTTCTTGAAAACAAATTTTCATGACAAATTGTCTCTTCCAATATTTATACACTTGGATAACTAAATAAGCAAGTGTTGACTAGAATTTAACACTGAAACTAAATAACCGGTAACAAAAGGACTCCATTGTTGGTTGGTCAAACAAGATATTTTCATCTAAAAAAAAAAAGTGTTTTTCAGTATTTTCGGTGTTAAACTTATTACATGTCTGCTGTTTGTTGATTAATTTGAACTATACTTACAAAAATGAAATGATCATTGCATTAATCAGGATCTAAACTGTAGGTAAATAATCATCTGTGTTGTTTTCTACTTATATTTTGCCTGTCACAGTTAACACAGCCTTACTAAAATATTGACCTAGTATATTACTTACCTGCCAGATGTTTGTCCTAAAGTCTAGCTATGTCTGTGTTTTCTTTCTTAGTCATGTTTTAAAAACATTCTACCTTTTATTTAGTAATCTGTTATATTTCACTCAAGAAGGGCATCTGTTTCCTATTTTGCAATCTGGGATGACTCTTGAAAAATCCAATCAAATTTGTTGCATGATTTTTTTTTTTTTTTTTTTTTTTTTTTTTTTTTTTTTAATTATTATAATCAATTACTTTTACTGAAGTCTGTATATTACTCTGAGTTGTAGGATCCAAGGATTAGACATTTTTTTCTAAAAATGAAATAAACAGGGTGGGGGTGGAAATTCATTTAAAGGATAAAAATTTGCAAGATTAATAAATGGGATGGTCTTAAATTCATGAGGAAGGCAATCAGAATTTTCTCAGTAAAAGAATTTCCCCTCCTTAAGTTGTTAAATAAGTCAAATGTATGTTTACTATCCAGCACAAATATTGACCTGATAACCTTCATCTAATGTAAACTTGTGCCTTAATTGACCTGCATTTCAAATGCATTCTGCCTATTGATTTCTATAGAAACTTATGGTTTTTCCACTGGGGACAGATCAGTCTATTTGCGTAGTGAAGTTATATCATATTAGATCAACACCCCTCCCCATCTATTAGGCATTTAGCTGTAACTTTATCAACTTTGATAAATTTTGATATAGTACCTAAAGTTTTCAATTTACTAAACATAGCTTGCAAGATGAACTTTACTAAGCATCTACGATAGCTACCGCCCACGTCATAAGTTTAACTTAGTGGAGCACCCAGTGAAGATAATATTAACAATATGTTCTGGGATTAGTATTCACTCTGGTTTTAAAGTAAAAAAAATAAATTAGTTTCTGAACCAATGGTATATTATGTTAGCTTGAGGCCATTTTATATAAATCTCTGTAGAATAAATATTGCTCTTCTCTGCCTACAACAGACACATTGCTTTTCATTTAAAAGTGTGATTGATAATCTCCCCACCCCCCCCAACCTTCTAAAGCATGCTAATTTAAAAAATTATTTCCAAAAAGTACTTTAATAAATTGTCGGACTTTGTCCAATTCTTAATGTAAAGACATTTTTATGTTTAACATTCTTTTTATAGATACAAGTATTTAAGTAAATGCTCTGTTTATAATAAACAGTATTAAATAACATTTACCGGCCTGAATGTCCGAGAAATTTTCATAGAAAATATTCGTCCTTTGACAGGATTCAAACCTGCATCCTATACGG